AGAAATTTCATTTACTGTGTGTGAAGAAGTTTGAATTACTTTCTGCCTATTATTCTGAAGAATGGAAACAAAGCCATTTTTTAAATGCTATGAGTGCTTCCTTGCTTTCACAGTGTTGCTGTACTTATAATCCACTAGATTAATCTTATAGTTGGTGAATACCTAATAGGTAATTCAATAAACTGCTAAAGAGAATACAGTTCAGTTCTGCAAGTGTGTAGACCTCTCTCTCCCCTCCCACTCCACCCCACCCTACCCCCCCACCCTACCCCCAGAAGGAAACAAAGGATTTTATTTGCTGGGCTTGAAGGAGTCATGGATACCTATGTAGACTCGAACTGGTGTATATTTAAGCTGTGCACAAAGGCCATTGAATTGTATCCAGGACAGTCCTTCCCTTTATAGAAGGGGCTGTGATTCAGAAAATGTACCCATGAGCTGAATCCGGGACAGGCAACTTCAGCCAGTACTTTTCCTAGCATCTCATCATTTCTTCTTATGCTGTTTTGAAGGTCCTTTAACTCTGTGGAGCAGATTCTCAGAAGGCCTCTCACCAATTCCCAAACAGCACTTAGGAGCAGCCATCAGATGTTCGCTACCTTTAAAAAAAGATTTTGCAGTCCTTGAAAATTGTGCCTATAAGGATGTCTGATATGTGTAGGTGTACCTGATCAATTTCTTGTATTTCTGCTATGAAAGTGAGCACTAGTAGGGAACATAAAATGAAACTGAAAGGCAAGACTGCATATAGGCTAATTTTCACAGAGTTGACAAGAACTGATGGAGCATATAATACTTCCTGCCATTCAGTTTGCATACATTTTCTTTCCATTTACTAGGCCAAAAAAGCTGTGCTGCAAATATTAAAAACACCCCCTGTAAAGTCAGTACTTCAGTGGCAGAGGATCGTATACCCAAAGGAGATACTGTCTGTTCAACACCATTACCACCACGTTTGGTGCACCTACTTCTGTCTTCTATTTTTAGGGACAAATGGGTTCCTCTTCTCCCTTGCTATTATTCCCCTACCCACCATCCTTGCCAGCTGTGTGCAAATTAGCTTATCTGCAGTCTTGCTTTGTACACTTTCCTTGTACCTCAGTGCTACCTTTCATAGCTGAAACAGAAAATTGACCAGGCAAGGCTAAGCATATTTGACAGCCATAAGAGTACACTTAAGCAAGAACCATGAAAAGAGAAGTAATTTAAAAATTGCCATTGCACATTTTTGAGGCTCTGGGGGAAGATGCCAGAAAATAAATAGTAATGCCTAGAGAGGGAAGGCAGCTGGGGTAGGACAAGAGGGGTTCTGTGTCAGAGTCCCCTGGGATGTGTGTCAGCTTAGAGGACTGAGGGGGAGAACAATGCATAGCAAGCTTAATAGTTCCTCAGGTATACTGTGAGTTTTCAGCAAACAACCCACACGGTGTAGTTTGTTCATTAAGTGTGAACCTACCCAATCTGTTTATAAATACTCAGCTCTATGTTAGGTTGTGCATTTCTATATGCTTCCCAAGTAGAAAGTTTAACTATTTCTGAGATTTCTTGCTTGCATATAAATAGTTATTTTAGAACTAAGATTGCTGGGCTGAAATTGGACTGTTACCTGTGCAGCAGTCATCCCTTAAGCATCTTGTGTGGTATCTCTAGCCATATCAAAATTGTCTGTAGTTTCTGGCCTTGCAATAATCCCATCATTGTCTCATTTGGAAATCGAAATCAACAGAAGTAAAGCCATAAGTAAAAGCTCTGAGAACTAAAATCACTAAATGGCTCTGTCTGAATTGCTTAGAAACAGCCAAAAAGTACAAACTCCTTTAAAACTGTTTGTGGAACTATTACTGGAACTATCATCTGGTACTTGTTAATGAGAAATTACTCGTGATACCTATGTTGGAATAAATGACATAAAATCAGAAACTTCAGTAAATGTCAACTTAATGAATAGACAATTTGGACAGAGGAAAAATTGACATGGAATTGGAGTGAGTGTGAACTAATCTAGGTCTACAAAGTTAAGCAAATATTGCAGAGTCAAAGTACATCTGTGCTTATATGCTACAACCTTCCCATTTTCCCATTCATTACTGCAGAATCTCTTTAGATGTGGAATGTTATATACATGTGACTAGATAAAACTGTGTGTGTGTGTGTGTGTGTAGTGTCTGTCTTCTTCATCCCACTCACTAAACACCCACTTACTTTGGTCTACTCCTTAGAATATAATTTACTTGATTTTAAAATTTATAGCTCTACCAAGCACCCATTTTTCATATTTTTTTGTCCTTTCCTTCTTTACTCTGAAAAATGCTAACAACAAAATTATCCAGGTGTGGATTTTGTGTTCTTTTTAACTACCGTATTTTTCGCTCTATAAGACGCACCTAGTTTTTAGAGGAGGGATCCATGGAAAGCTTCCTGATAATCACAGGCACATTCCCCATCACTTCCCCATGGGCTTCATTAAAAGACGGGTTGCCATTTGAAAACACACACCGACCTGTGATTAACAGCTCTCACCTGCGTCGGAGGAGGGGGGGCGGAGCAGGGCGCGCCGAGCGTTTGCCGGCCAGGTGTGGTGCAGTCGGGTCGACAGTGTGCCGGCAATGGTCTTCTGGGCGGCACGGCAGCGGCGGCAGGTCTTCCCAGGCGGTGGGGGTGAGCAGTCCGTCTCTCCGTGCGGCCGGCAGGTTAAAGCCTGCGGCTCCTCCGCACCACTCCCCCTGAGCAGCACAGCTCTCGCCTGCGCCGGGGGGGGGGGGGGGGGGGGGGGGGCAGCGGGCCCCGGCCAGGGCCGCCCGGGGGGGGCCTGTGGTGGAGGCGGGGCGGCAGGGGCCCCGGCGGCGGGCACACATACATTCCCTCTATAAGACGCACAGACATTTCCCCTTTTGGGGGGGGGGGGGAGTGCATCTTATAGAGCAAAAAATACAGTAACTGAGAAAGCTAGAAGAGCCTGCAACCATTCTGGTTGATTTGCTTCTGCTTTAGTTTTTGCCTTGTAAGAAACAGATCTTTCCTCATGCATGGCATGTACCTGATGCATAAAGAGAAGCAGAGTTTTAAGTTAATTTTCACAATTACAGAGAAAATACAAAGCCACATGACAATAATTTGATGTTTAAAAGATGTGGTTATTTTAACGGGGAGATAATTAGCCAAAGCACAGGTGATGTAGCCAAAAGGATTGAATTTGAACAGCTTTATTTACTATGTTGCTTGCATCACCATGGCTCATGGGAGAGTATGTGGTTTACCTAAGCTATAACCTTTGAACAAACACTCTTGTCTATTTATACACACAGTGGATGCGGGGAGGTAATCAACATTCATTACTTCCATCACATGTGCTGCCTTTGCTTAGGACAAAAAAGCAAGATTTTTTTGAAACAAAGCTTGGAAATCTTTAAAAAACTACATCAAAAAAGAAAAAAAACTTGGAAAAATCCCATTACATGATATATAAACATTAATGTCCTGCTGGGTATCATTTTCTTCTCTGGATGAACTCCCGAAATAATATCAATAATGTTTTAAATCAGTCATATTTATTCATCTGCACATCATTAGTGCTAGGCCAATATTGTAGCATTCCTTACACTGCCTTAATTGTATGAATGCAAAAAGAACCTATTCCCATATTACATTTATAACGGGGTTTGTGAACATCAGTTTCATTTTTGCATATCTGGAAAAATGTCAAGTGATAAGCTGAAGTATTTACATTTTTTGGCATTTGTTCAGGGTCTCCATTTATTTAAATAAAGGGAATGGGCTGATTTATTTAAGGAAGCATGTCACTTTGAAATTGATAGGAAGACAATTTGCCAAGAGGGTAGATGGAATGCCATTCACATTTCAGACGTCCTGCTTACAAACCTGGATAGTTAACTCCTTACTCAGTTCTCCCCAAATGATTTCTACTATTGAATACTAATTTTTAGGTAGATTAAAAATTGTAGCCTTGATAAAATCTACAGTTGTTGGTTTTTTTGTCTTGTCTTGCTTTGCTTTGTTTCAAAGGTATTTTACAAGATTTGCACTAGTATTTGATTCCAGGACATTGCAACTTGGAAATTGCCTGCTAACCAAATATCAGTCACAACTGCATTCCATTTTATATAGATTCCCTACTCTGAAAGAAAAGCTGAATAACAATTGATTTTAAAGATGTGTTTAGTTAGCTCAATGCAATGTAATTAAATAGCATAATATGTTAGAAGATACTAGGCATCCCCTGTACTATTTTATTTCTTAAGCCTTTCCAACCCAATCAGTCTTGGACAATTTGGGTTCTGCTGAACTTTTCTGTTTACTTCCTGAGCCTTTTTGCTCTGAATCCTTGTTATGCTTTATGTTTTCCTTCCTCAGTCAAATAATCAGTGACCTCAGTAACAAGTTCTGTATATTAATAGCATTAACACACTGCATCATTTTCCATCATGACCAAGGCAAACCCTCTTGATTACATGGACTCATTTTAGATGCCTACTGAGGGCAGCAGGATGTGTGTGTTGTAATAAGTGTCTACTGTATTTACCAAACTCCTTCTGGGTCAAAGACAATTTCAGGAATTGATCGAACAAGCCTGCCTCCCTTGCATTTTCCCATGTTTAGTTGTTGTGAGTTTGTTCTGCCTGAAAATTTCAGCAGGAGGACTTTGGGCCTCCTTGCACTTTCAGTCATTTCTCAGCTGGGTGAAGAAGAAAAATATTCACCAAGGGGAAAAAGGGAAGTTGTTAGATACAAAGTTGTTGAAAATACCAGCACAGAGTTTTCTTCAATTTGAGGAGAAATTATCTGAGAACAGAACCAAGAATTTTAGTCACTGGATCTTCATTTTTAGCTGTTGTGGCTTTAGAACTCAAAGTACCAAGCACCAAATATTCTTCCTCCTATTCCCTAGCACTAATTCTAGGTGGCCAATAACAGCCATCTAGAGAAAATACCCCCGTGAAGCACATTGGGATTTGCTACCACTCTCATGCTGGGCACACGATGCTTGTAAGCTTCTATGTTTAGAGACTTGGACACATCTGCTGTGGGGTGATGGGAGTGGGCCCGAAATGTGTCCTTAAAACTGCTTTTCTATACATACAGCATTCCACATAGTAAATACTCATTAACAACAATGAAACCAGTATCTTTATTTAATACAGTGATGATCAGGCTGGTGAATTTACTATTTCTGTGATTAATTTGTCCAGAGCAGAGTTTATTTCACATTCTTTACAAAGGGATATTAATTTCACAGCCCGTTTCAAAAGATAGGAAGGGAGCTGGAGCTTAGTCCACCATTCATTAGATGGAAAGTCTAAGCATCCGTGCAGTTTAGCAAAAATGCGAAGAATCTTTATTCTACTAGCAAAGAGCAGGAGGTCATCTTGAGACACATCCTTTGGCCAGGGATGATGATCAGCAAGTGGCTTTGAAGGAAACAAGAAGCAAGAAATTAACAAAGCACCCAGATCACACAGTACTTTTGCTGGTGGAAATTCAATGGATTGCATAGGTATAAAACCAGCGTAGGTGTTGATTTAAATAAAGAGCAATTAAGGTAAATTAAGAATGCACTCCTATATATCCCCCATGGCTGATGCAGGTAACCCTTCAGGTTTGGAGACTTATATGCATCCTATATGCCTTTTGCAGGTGACATACCTCAAGCTGGGTATTCTAGGTTTAGGGTTAGGGAGGAGGAAAGGAGGAGGCTGGGATGCTGATTAGACCTGGCATAAACCTGCAGCCTCAGCCTCCTCTTTCCCACTCCCCAGCACTCCTTCCCTGTCCCCCAGGCCCAGTTGTGGCATCGGGTGGGGCAGCCAGCAGTGTTTTCTATGTCAGCTGTGAGGGGAGGGGGGCTCATCCTTCTGACTCCAGGTCTAAGGTTGCAGCACACTGGAGTTGATAATGGAGAGAGATATTAATTAACCAATTTAAGTAAGCTGTTTTAAAAAAAGAACCTGCTATTTTTATTCATTCTCATTAACACTGTAGAAATAGCAAGATACCTCTACAGCCAAATCAGGTCATAGGATCATTTCTGAAACTTCCTTCTTTGCTTGCATATGCAAACCATTTGCAGAGATGTAGCATAATTTATATTTCCTGCATGCCTATCCATTTGGAAAGCCTGCCGTTCCTGTTCTCATAATCACCTGTATCCATATGAATCAAATAAAACACTTAAAATGCAATGCTATCTGCACACACCTCAGAGTAAGTTCCACTTAATTTCTCTTCCAGCTGTACATCATGTATATACTGTAGAACCATACAATTTTCTCAATTAGCCAGAATTATGAGTTATCCATATTTTGTATAAATACTTTTGTAACACTGTGAAGGCTTGCTTGCCTTTTGTATTTAAATGCTTTGGAAATCCCTTTTAATTATTTGATCAAGTGGTGTTGATCTCTGTCTACATCCTTGTGTTCAAACCAGGTTAATTTTGTGTCAAATTCATTTCTAAATAGTATGAAGCAGGATGTTCCATTTTCTCTCCTCCACACTCCTACAAGGCTTTCTATTCAACCACAAAACAAGTTTTCCATCTCTTGCTCAACCACGATTACCAAACATAAACTCCTCCAACCATCTCCTAGTTCCTCTAAAATAATGTACCTTTACTTTTGTTCCTATGTTGATTCTTGCTTGTTTTCCCATAGAAAGAAAAGAAATGGCCACTTTGTCTTGTCCCAGTATCCTGACGCCAACATTCAGGTTCAAAGATAGAAAGACAGGTTTAAATGATACGCTGGGGTTGTGTTTCTGCAAGTTGTTTGGCCAGATCCATGCCTTCACTTTGTTGCCAGCTTCATCTGAATAATGTCCTCCTTGAATTGTAATATTTATCCTAAAGTTCAAAAAGAACAACTTAAGAAGACCTCAACGTTGTGGGGTGGGGAGAGAACCTTGAATTTACAGCCCTGACCCTGATCTGCAAACAACATCAGACCTCAACAGTGCCAGATCCAACAGGGGTAGGGAGAGGCAATTAATAACACTGCAGCTGTTTTTGAAGAAGCAGTAGAACCCTCCTATTCTTTGTATTAAGTATGAAACATAAGAACATCCATGTTAAACCCCCTCTAATTTAAATAAACTTACCACACAAGTCCGTTCGGATGATAACAAGTTCCTTTACCACAGGAGTCAAATACTGCCTGGATTTCAGCATTCTCAGGCTTGTCCTCTTGAACTATACAAACGTAGCCTTCTTGCTTGGTCTTTTTTACAATTATGATTGCCAGATTTCCAGATGGATAGCTGCATATAGATAAGGTTCCTATGGTCCCATTCTTTGTTTGAGAATGTTGTCACATAATCAGGCCTGTGGGTGGTTTCAATGCATTCTCATTCTCTCTCCCTCTGTGTGTTCTTTGATATTGTCTCTGAATTAACCTCCATTCTACCTACAATTTTTAAAGCTTCTGAGAAAAAGTATCAAGAACTTCTCAAGCCAAGGGGTCATGTTTGGTTTTTGCAAACACAACATAGATATTTCTTACCTGAATAAGACAGCAAAATGTCTGGCCAAAAAGTGGGTGGCCACTAGTAATATGAGCTGCTCAATAGCATACAAACTATATTATGATTTTGCATCAATGCTATATGCAAAATAACCCAGGTTTTTGTGATGGTGTAGCAATATGGATTGACTCATAAAGGAGGACATGGCCTTGAATTGACAGGAGCTGAGCAGGGTTGTCATGCACAGGACATTTTGGAAGGCCTTCATACATAGGGTTGCCAGAAGTCAGAGACCACCTGACAGCACATAACAACAACAAAGCCATGGGATACAAAGGCACAAGATATACCACAATTTATGTCAAGCCCTACCCCTCAGTTATTTTGGATCTTCAGCTCTGTGTTTCCACTTTACTTATAACAATTATTTCTCAGTGTTTTCCTTTTATGTATTGATTATATTTTTTATATTTTATTTTGTATTGTATTGCTCTTAACTTCCTTATGAACATGTTTTGTGGTGGAGAAGCAAACACATCTGTATCTATGCATATAAATTATAGTATACAAGCATGTCTCTTTTTAGTGGCCAACTCACCAAGCTCCCTCTCTTATCTACAGTCAGCAGTGAAATAGGCAGAGCAATCCTTCCATGACTAGGATGGTAGGGAAGTTTTCTTGCTGGTACTCAATGGCCGGACCGGGAGATAATTGGGCAGCTTTCTAATATCTCTCCCTTCTTTTTCACCCTGCATTGCAAGTAATGGGAAATTACTGTGCCAGCTGTAGGGTTGGCATAGTTGAGGACTATATTTGGAGGCATATTAGAGAAATGTGCACATTTAGGGTGTTGAAGATGCTCATATATCCCTGAAACAAACACAAACTGCCCGGAAAACACAACTGATGGAGTGTCTAGCTTTCCAGAGGCTTAAAGTGGCTTAAATGCTGGCTCACCAGAGAGCCTCCGTCTTTACTGGCAGAGCAGCACTTACACCAATGAAATGGTCCCTTAACCAGACTATTGCTGGCTTTAAGATTGCAGCCCCAGGCATTTACGTTCTAGCAGGCTTTTAGTCCTACTTTTAATCTGCACTGATGGCTGCACTGGATTATTTAAGTCAGTGTGACTCCCTATGATGTTTTCAGTAATGGTTTTACTTATTGCAGCCTAATGTGTTTTCATTTATTTTAGCTGTTTTGATTATAATTTGATAGAAATGTGGGTTATAAATATGGTAAATAAAATAAAAATAATTACCAAACACAGCCATAGCTGCTGAGGGTGCTGTGAGTGAGAAGGATGGCTGCTTGGAGTGCTCATGATCAAGGTCTGCTGGCTGGAATTCATCAGAATCGGAATGTGAAGCAGATCAAAGGGGAGTTGGGGAAGATGGGCAGACATGCTTATCTCAAGGCCAGATGCATCATGTGGGCAGGCAATTCTTGGGAATATCCAAGATATACAGCAGGCCTGAGAGGACCATGAATGTGGGAGTTTCTCAGATGTAGGCCAGGCAGCTCCTGACCCCATGATAAGGCACCACAGAAGTGGGCGACCTAATTAGATGATCAAAGCACAGTGAGGAGGCATGCTCATTTTCAGAAGGTCCCTCCTGAAAGACAGGGCCCAGGCATGCTCATAAGGAGGGTTCCGGGAGATGATTACTAGAATGGATTCAACAAACATTCTGCACATGCTCAGAGAGTGGTTCTGGGTGATTTGTGCTGTTGGGTCAATAAAGAATGCTTTGCAAGGAAAATGGTCTGTGGCTTTTGAATGGTCAAAGGAACAACCTCCACTCATGACAGAGGTGTGTCAAGGAGTTCACCTGTTGACCTAAAGACCTTTTGGCTATCTTGGGGTCAACTGTGCTACTGTAGACCTTCATACCTGGTTCACTGCAGCTGATCATGATAAGGCACAAAAGGATACAATATTTGTGCACTACCATCTGGAAACATGGTAAGAAACTTTACGCCATTTTTGTAGTACTGTTGCAAGAACTGGTTTTTCACTAACTGCACAGAAAAGAAAAAAACAGTAAAATGCACATTAAGATTATTTTTCATGATTGTTGTAAGAATCAGTATTCTAATGGCAAGCTCACTAAACGGGGTGGTGGGGACAGGTAACAAAAAGTTGCACTTTGTCACATCCCTTAGCGCAAAAGTACTCTTGACTGGCCCACCCAGTCAAGAGTACTTTTGTTCTTGTTTTTTGTTCTTGTACTTTTGTTCCTGTTTTCTCTTATTCTTCTGTGACCAGGTGGAATGTTATGTAGACAAACATTCAAACTAGAATTCCTCTAGCAACTGAAGTCATTCCAAAAGCAGTAACTAGCTATATAAAAGGTAGAGCAAACATGTGCATGGATTCTAAAGATTACAGGTACTTAGAATGCTAACCTTAAATCAGGCCTTAATATAAATGACCATCTAGATCAGTATTCCCTATTCTGACTGGCAGCAACTCTCCAGGGCCTTTTCCATCACTTGCTACCTGGTCCTTACACATCAGGGAGAGTGCAACATGAAAACATTTATCACTATATGCAGGAAGTAGTCTTTACATGGGAGAGCATTAAAAATGCAAATCTTTACCTGCTTTTTTGGATAGTAGAGCTTCTTCCCATGAAGGACACTTAATGCTATACAGACATGGAGCTCCTTTACTGGTTGCTCATATTTAGAGATTATTTATATTTAAGCCTAATCTATAGCAAATCGTTTCACCCTGGAAGCAAAAGATCCAACAGTGGGGATCCAGTGCAGGAATTGTTGAGGTGCTTACCTTTCCACCAGCAATGGTGAAATCACAGCAAGAGACGCTGTAAGTAATGTCTTCACCCAGTGACAGTTCTTCATCCATCTGGAGAGGAACTCTTGTCCAACCTGTTAAACAACTTCTCTCTTGGGACAGACAGTAGGAAATGGTTGTAAGCTGTTTACTGTCTATGGAATACAAAGCAGGTGTCATTAAATAAAAGTGATTAAAGGAAATTCATCTATTTAAGAAGTCAATTTCATTTTGATCAAAATTATAAGGTTGATGTGAAACATATAGGATTGCATTTGATGTAACTCTATAGCAGTATAATGATGTTTCACTAACCATTGCATGTTCTGGAAGAGCACATACTAGCAGAACAACCAACACAAGCAAATACCGAGCTTTACAAAGTGCTTGTGCAATTAAAGTTTTGGACCCAACGGCCTTGAACTGGCAGAATGGCAAACCTCGTTTATTTCTCTGGCTGCTTCATACAAATTCTGAGAACTGCTCCTAATCTAAAATTAAAAACCATAATAACTAATTTATAGACTAATATCCAAATTATAGCAAAACAGAGCAGCAATGTAATCCAATAGAAGATGAGCTAAAAATGGCAGTTCACATTTATATTAAAGACCCATTATATGCACAAACCAGAGAAATAACAACAAATTGTTATTTTGTCAACAAAATAACAATTTTTTTTCTTAAAAAAATTACCCCCCCCCATACCAATTCCTCTTATCAAGGTCAAGTTCTCACAGGAGCAAGTCCAGTCTTCCCAGGAAGCTGTTTTGCAGGTCATGAATCCCTTCCACAAAATGTACATGGTAGCATATCAAAGATAAAACCACCATAATTAATAACCATTATTTTCCCCTGACTTTCTCCCATTCTCTTTCGAAGCCATCTAAGGTAGGTGTCACCATCTTCTAGCAGTGAATTATGTGGAATTTTAAACTGGGTAAAGAAATGTATCCCAAACCTACTTGATCCTGAGTTACAGTGTTATGGGTGTGACAGATTCTACACACACACACACACACACACACACACACACACACACACACACACACAAGTAATAATATTACTGTACAGTGATATTTGGATATTTTCCCTAATGAACCAACACAGCTAGCCCCATTATTTGAGTGATTTGAAGAATAATGCATTTAGCTGTCCAATGGAAAGATTTGTAAACTGAAGGAAAATTATGGTATACCAACTGAAGAGGAGACTTAATTTTTGGCAGGGTTACTTGGCATTCAACTGCTTTATGATACTATTCAGTTTGGTTTCTATTGACCTTGTACCTATTTTTATATTTTATCTATTTAAAATTATGTACCATCATTTAAAAAGTTCAAGATGTTTTACATATTTTAATATATATATATAATCAACAGTACAACAATTCAAAATTCCTTAGTGCCAGTACTTGATATAAAAATTAAAACTGCAATTAACAATTAAAAATGGGTAAATAAAACGGTTTTGGCTAAATGCTGGAATGCACAGAGCATCGGCATCAGATGCACCACTCTGGGGAGCAAGTTCCACAATTGAGGTGCTATAGCAGAAAAGGTCCTCCTCCTCACCTCTTTCAAGGGTGCCTCTTGAAGGAGGACCTGCTAAGATGATCTTACGGACCAGACAGGCTCATATGGAAGCAGATGTTCCTTTAGATAACCAGGCCCTAAACCTATTGCCTTACCTAAAATTAATCTTCTGCTTTGCTAAAGTGAAGACAACTATGTTTCACCTGATTCCTCTGTCATATAAGTGGAGAAACTACTCAGGCATATTTATGGGCATTTTTATGGTAACCCAGGGATAAATTAACCAACAAGCAAAGGAAGGCTCTGTGGTAGAGCATATGCTTTGCATGCAGAAGGTGCCAGGATCAATGCTTGCCAACTCCAAGCAAGGCTGGAACAACTCCCTTCTGAAACTATGGAGAGTTGCTGCCAGTCAGCGTCAACAATACTAGACTAGATGGGCCACTGTTTGGGGTTTTAGGCAGTATCCTATGTGGCCAAATAAATAAAGGTGTTACGGTGCCAGAATTTTATAATCTCAGTATGTCAGTGTGCTAGTTATCTGAAAAAATATCTACAATCCCTAGGAAAAACTAATATCCAGAAAAGTTGCTATTTTCCCATACAGCAGAACTAAGCAGGGTTGGCGGAGTGTCATGGGGGGTGGATTTCCTTAGCCAAAGTAATGCAAAGTATTTTGGGCTGTCCTGCTCCCCAGTAGGCAATTATGAAGCATTACCTTGACAAAGGAGCAACTCCTGGTGTAAATAAAAACTCTAAGATTGGTTTGTCGATATGGATCAAGACAACTACCTGCATTTTTGGACACTGTTTGGAAACATAGCAGGGAATGATCAGGATGAGTGCCTGCACTTCAAAGTATATCACTGACAGAGAGCAGAAAATATTAAATAGCAATTTGAATTTTAGCCTCATGGTCTGCTAAATGGAACCCTGACCCAAATCCACAATTGCACCCAACACACTTTCTTGCATTTTGGCTTCCAGACCACAGCCAAAGAGCAGGTAACCATATGAGATGTGGGACTCATAAACGGGATGCATTCGCAGGCATACAAAAGCATCTATAAATATGTGGGAACAGACATCCTTCTCTTATTTTGCTATTTATCCTACAGGTGAAAGCTATTGTTGCACAGTGCAATTTTCCATTCACAAAGAGTCGGCCACCTTAAGTGACTTTACTGTCTTTTGACTAGGAATGGGACTACAGCTTTCATGTCACACAAGAGCAAAGGGGGTGGCGTAGAAATCCAATAAATACATCTAAAAAATAATAGTAAGAGTATTGTCCACATCAGAGAACTTGCATTTTTCTGCTCCTTGTTACATACATTCCTTAACCCCATAATGATGACTCTGAGTTAGCCTGAGGACAGATGTGATGAGTATAAGAATTGCTGTGACATATGAGCCATACTTAAGGTTGTGCTCACATTGGCACAACAAAATAATCTGTTAAGAATCAGAATAATCAGAATAATCACAGAATAAGTCTACTCACAATCAGGGGAATGGACTGGAAAGATGTCCCTCTCTTCATCTGTTGGAATGAAGGCAAACTGTTTGGCCATTTGTCGCTCTTGCTGCCTGCAAAATCAAAATGTGTATTATCTGAATTCCTCCATTTCTTAATAACTTAAGCTGAGTTTCAGGTATTCTTTGAAGGAATAACAAAGGTGAACGCTAATTTAGCTAATTTCTGGTAATGCCCCCCCCACCCCCCAAATAGCACAACCATCTTCATTTGGCTGCATGCATTTGCATGTAACATTTTCTTAAGTCTTAAGAATCCGGACTAGACTTGCTGAATTAATAGGAAAACTTTTAAGTTCAATGGCTTGGACTGAAAGATAAGCCAATCCAATTAAGTCTGTGGAATAAACATATCCTGTCCCCTCTTTCCTGTTGCAGCCACCTCCCCCCTCCCACCCAAAAGATTCTCTGGAGGGTTAGGGTACGCTTCTGAACATATGTGGCATATGGCATGCTTGAGGAAGGAAGTATGGGAAACTTGCCTTCCATAAGCATACTTAAGTCCACTGATCTCAGGGCTAGCACAATTCCACATTCCCAAGCAGCCCTGCTCCATGCCAGATCGCATGGAAGGGGGCACAAGCCCTCCAGAGAGGCTTTTGCAGGGATCCAGGTGACTGTATATAGAGGAGGAGATATGAAATATCCATGCATTTTCTTGATTATCTTAAGATTCAGGTTGTATTTTTTCATTCCCCTCAATTTTCCTGCTAGTTGCATTGCAAAGCATTTTCATTATACATTTTTATTCAACTTTCCGGACAACTGATGTTTCCCATAGGAGCTCACATCAATTTAAAAGAGCAAGAGGGGCATTAGGATTACAAACTAATGACATAACACACAAGGGTAGAAGGGTGGAGGGAAGAGGAAGAGGAAGGCCAAGGAAAAGGAGGAAGGTGAATTTTTCAAGGTCAGAAAAATGTGGTAACTGAGAAGGGGACATTTCCATTTTCTTTTGCTGGTGTTCCTCCTGGAAAACCAATTGGTGGCTCTTTTCCCTTTGACTGATGAATGTTTAAATTACATATTCTTGAATATTAGCTTCCCCCGCAAATGTGCACATTTGTTCCTGAAGATGAGTAAATGAATGGGTGTGTTATTAGTCAGCTTGCTGTACCTCTGGCGGGCTCTCTCTTTGGCTAGTTGTCTCTCAGCCTCACTTCCATGGGCCTGATGAGGGGCAATATTAATCAGCTCAACCCCATCCTTTGCATAGCGCTTTTTCTCATTGACAATGAACTCATGAAGGTCTCTGCACTGCTGGCAACAGAAAAGCTGGAAGGCAAGATCCTGCAGTTACCTGGTGACCTTGTGGTCCTTGGCTTCATAGAGAAGCCAGCAGGGGTATTTTCCCATTACTTACATTTCCATATTCAGCTATTTGTTCTAGACTTTGAAAGGAAGGAAAGTTTCTTAGTGGGCTGCCGCAGAACTCACAATTTTCTGGGTAGTGCTTTTCAAACTGCAGAAAAAGCATGGGGCAAATTTTGAAACCATTAGTGGTAATCCTCATGCAGTAAGTCTCTTTCTCCCAACATAGCAAGTTCCTTTGTGTTTTCATACCCTGGCCCCACTGCTTGTAAGGACAGTAACGATGCTGACGTTTCCCACTGCTGTCCTGGAGTGACCTCTGAAAGTGGAAGTGCCTCATGACTGTTGGAGGAAAAGCTGCTCCGTGTCCTCCTTATGATGCCTTGGCAGCAAAGAATTGCACCCTTATCCATGCAAACTTTTAGGCTTGAAATGCAGATGTTTAATTTATATAATGGGTTATTTAAAAGCCCCTCCTGACTACAATAATCCAAACACCAAACATTAAAAGTTGCAATCCCATGCATGTTTAGAAGAAAAAAGTCCTACAAGCTCAAGCATTTTCTGTCCAGTCAAGTTGACTGGGACATGCTAAGAAAAGACCTTAAAAGACCAAGCAATTTATTAAGTAGAGAGACAGATTGAAAGGTACATGCCAGCTGGAGCAGGGAGTTCTTAACCTGGCATCTAAATGTATACAAAGAGGACACCTGGTGGACCTCCCGCAAAAGAACATTCTGCAGAAGTGTTGGGATGGGGCCACTACAAAGAAGGCTCTTCCTCTGGATCAGACCATTAACAGTGGTAGCACCCAGAGAATAACCTTTGAATCTCAGCCTTTCTTGATAGCCTTAAATTCAGCTTTTATCTATGCTGACAGCTGCTTTGAAGTGAAGAATACAGAAGCAAGACTGTGGTTTTGTCACAATCAGCCCTCTTTCTCAGCAGCTTATAGATATGCACATGACCTTAGAATCACAAATCTTGTAATAATTGTTAAATATGCATTCTTCCCATGTATCTCCTTAACATAATAACTAAGCTCTTGTGCATTTATTTAAATAAGCATACATTCAAATTATCCTGGTGTATGGAGTAATCAGAAAAATGTGCATGGATCACAGCATGCAGTCCTGCTCTCAGTCACAGTTAGACCATTTCATGCAACTCTGAGTGTAAAACAAAGCCAGACAATTCAGCTGACGGTATTCACCACTGTTCAAAACCCAAAAGTAAGTAGATTAAAGAAATGAATGGCTGAGAAGCGGCCTACTTTGAGGACTGCAAGTGTTTCCTTTTACTACCAACACTTAAAATAAATTGTCCTAACAGGGCATAGTTAAGAAGTCAGGGGTAACAATTTGGATATCTCTATTTTCAGACTCCCTTAAACTGTAGGTAGCATAAGAAAATAACCAACTACTTTGCTGACAGGGAAAACAGCAGCAGTAACTTAATGCACAGCTACAGTAAATAATCAGCAGGGGGCAATGTTAAAATTGTTAAGATTGTCATTCCTGACACAGAGTTGAATTAAACATTAAATGGCTCTTCATTGCATTTACTAATTACACCCAGCTACAAGGAAGGAGAATTCCATGCAAAGAATAAAGAAGCGGAACTCATACTTTGAAGGAAAGATTGCAGGACTAGCTAGGGATAGAAAATACAGTGGGGGTTTTGACCGCTTATTCACAGAACAGAGACAAATATAATGCCTGAAAGAAAAGTATTCTCATTGGCTCATTTTCCTACAATTGTTCAGTGTCGTATAATTATGGCAAGTTTAACAATACATCTTTCAAGAAGGGAGATTTCCTACGTAGTCACTGTTACATAAACACAATGTTTTATTATTGTCAACCACCTCAAGATTTTCTGTGAAAATAACAGTCAGTATAGCAAATACATAAATACATGTCCAAAATCCAGCACCCAGTAGTTTTTGCTTCAACTCTTTATTTGCCTAATGGAAGGGGATCCTGCAAGTTCTATCAATAGAAAATGTTTGCTTATGAAAATAAAATGTTTATCTGGATAGAACAGGCGTCCTTCCTACTCAGGGATAAACATGTTGTTGGTTTTAATGTCCAAACAACCTAGGCCCTGGGTGCCCGTCTCATCATGAAGCTATCCAGCTATTGGATTCACAGCAAAGACCTTCTTAAGTGTATCATTACTTGCTGGGGCCAGTCTGCTGGACATGTGTGAAAGAGCTTGCTCCTGCAGTTGTTATGACTGGACCCACTCTTTAGCCCTTTGAATTGTCTAGTTTTACTATTTTATGGTTTTAAATTATTTTATGGCATTAAGGTTTTACTGGTTTACAGTGGTGTTCAGCACCTTGACAACTTTTCAGTAAATGATAAAGCATTATGTTAGTGTCTAATACATAAATAATCAATAAACAATGGAATTAATTATTTTGACTGCTGTTCTCTCGGTGCAAGACATTTTTCTTATGCCCCCATTGATTCTGTGATGAGATCCATGCAGATCTGATTCTGTGCAAAAGTGTAATATAGCATTTTTCTCTTGGCCTACCACGTCTGCAAATAGGACTGTCTATCCCTTCCATTTTAAATGTTCTAGGGGCATTTGATTTTCCTAACATTTAACTGGGGATGGGGGAGTTAAATTTAAGTAAACAAGGAATTTGTAACATCATACCAAGTAAGCTAAATGGTTTTCCACTGAGCCCATGACCTATCTTCTAAAGAAATATTTATGGATGTGCTACATACATAACATTAAATGATGTTCATTTTAGCATTTAGCTGTCAGAAGTATTCTAATGCACCCCACAGCACCGGAATTAAGAATTTTTGAAGTCCCACTAATTTTAAATGGGAGAGTTGAATCATTAGCCAAAAAATCAATGAGACCTAGAAGCATTTAACTGGGGCTGGTTTATGCCCTAAATGTTTACTGCAATACAATATCTTACTCTTCACCATACAAAAATGTTTATAAGTAGGAATACAATTGCAAGCTTGTGAACTTGTGCAAGAGGTCCCAGAAAGAACTCTGTGTGCCAGTGTTAAGTAGAGGTGGAACTTGGCAGTACCTTCAGTGTTACTTAAAAAATCAGTACATACCACTAACCTGTACAAACAGTTAGACAAAAAGGTACTGTAAAATGAACACCAATAGAACAAGCTTCACTTTACACAAGCAAAGTGCTAGAATCAACCAGAGGATTATGCATACATTCATAAAGTAGCTGTTCCTTAATTATATATGATAAGGTTCATACATTTCAACCATCTTGACATGATTACAGTTCATCATTGCTTCTTCTGAAAAAATCTCAAATCATTGATTTTTTAATTATATGGGAATATCCCTCCAGTATTTCAGAATATTGTTCTTCTTAGAAGGATTCCCATGAAAGTTCATATCAGAAGAGGGTCTGTAAAAGAGCAGAATTCTGCTAGAAAAAATTGGCATTTCCAATAATCCAGGGTATTTACGTCAGCAGAAAGTTGGAAAGGAAATGTTTTTGTAATAAATTTTCAGTAAAACTCCATAGAAAATCTTCATTTAATATCGATTGTCTGGGTGCTCTGTTGTTTAACAACAAATGGGAGAAGAAAACGGAACTTCATTCTAAAAATCCTTAAACCAGTGGTCTTCACTATTTTTCAAATAGTAGCCACACTAACATGCCTCTAAAATTAACACAGAATAATCACATGAAGAACTCACTTTGGACCTCAGCTCCCATGAGCCCCTGTCAGCATGGCCAACTGTCAGGAATACTGGGAGCTGTAGTCCAGAACCTCTGGAGGGCACTAACAGAGAAGAACTGAAATCCCCGTTCAGTCCTATGCAGAAGTAGGGGGAACTGCATGGGGACTGGAGAGGCCGAAAGTGGAATAAGTGTGATGCTTCTTCATGTACTAATCCTTTTGTGCCCCGTGGATCTGTGCCCTGTTGCACAAATGGGAGTCTTGCTGATTCCACTGCAGCAGCAGGACCCACCTCTTGAGCATTACAGACTTAGCGCTTGAGATGAGCAGATACCCACAGACAAGTTGGTAGAGCTCCATTATGCAAGCTCCACTGACCTTACCCATTCCAGAAATGGGTGCTTTTGGCTCATTTGCAGCTGCTCTGGAACTGCAAAGTCTAAACAATCAGGATTTCTTAAACAATCAGGGCAGTAGAGCAGTTATGAAAAGATGAGAGGTCCTCACTGGCTGCATGACCAAAAAGGTGGAGATTGGCTGAATTTGTTACTCTTGTTAAGTGGGGCCATATGAAAGAGAGAGAGGGATGGGGAAAAAGAGAGGGGCCACAAATATGTGGGAGCAGCCAATGAGATGTTTGAATACTGCCAGTGGCCCACAAAGCCTTGGAGTAAAAACTGGGATCTGAAACATTTTGAAAAAGAAAGTTTAGTTTCAAAGCTGTGTACCTCTACTAGCATACAATTTACCAGCAAAATACCAGTTGGGAGAAGGAAAGTGAAGGACAATCCAAGGAACAGGTGTTTTTTCCTCCACATAATCCAATAATCTAATGTTACTATCAGATACACAGAGCTTATTTGCTAAAGACCCCTGGATATTCCTAATGAAACTCCTGACACCATTTCTTCTGGACAGTTCTGAAAAATAACAATCCTTCCTCTTTCTATTAGGGCAGGTGATAAATGCAATCCAATAAACTCTGCACCCAGAAATTCCACACCATTGTTTAAGAGTATGTGGAACCGGAAGCCTCTCTCTCAAATCCAATGTCTCCCGCTCATCCCAGTCTTACAGAAAAACCCAGGATGAAATGATTCCCACTCACACCAACTCAAGCCACTTTGATGGGCTAAACTATGCGCTATCATGGCATTGGGCTAACACTTTGCATGTGTGTTGGAGTTATTTTATAAATAACTGCCTTAGATATTAGATCATTCAGTTGGTGAATGCACCATATTTTTCTTTCTTTCATTGCAGCGTCATTTCCCCCCTGCTATTTTCAATCAGCCTCTTCCTTTCAATTTCTAGTCTGGGGTTGAGGAGCTTTTCACCAAGCCACAGGACTTGTTCTTACGCTGGCTAGTCATCTTGCCCATGCTGAAAAGCTTTTAAGGAATGTTTAAAGGAAGCTTGTGGAAAGCTCTGCCCTTCATAAAGTCTGAATTGTCCGTGTGTTCAGGCTATGGTATTAAAATGTGAATGGAGGTGGAGCTATTCAGGGGTAAATAATGCTTACTGCACAACAGCATTTTCAGTGGAACAGATGGTATTAAACAGCTGTGTTCCAAAAGCATTTGAACTATCACCTGTTGCTCTTTTGCTGATATTTCCTACTAAACCCAGACAATCTTGGTTAACATCAGTGACAGCGTGAAGAGTCTTGTTTTCATTTTACCTTCTAAAGGGATTACAGGCAACTGTAAATGATCCAATTTGTTGTTTCATTAGGGATCCTAGAACCATCTGGCTCTTGAAAAGCTTGCTAAGCAGCAATGCAGGCAAGGAACAGGACAAAACTTTGGAGGGAGGGAGAGAAAGAATTCCCTCACAATGATTCAACAAACCACGAAGTTAGAGAATGCTCAAAAGAGTGCTGGCTTCTGCAAAATCAAATGCAAGTACCCCATTAATTATTTTATGCACACACCTCCCCAAATACTTAACATGCTCAATCACTGAGTAGAATGTGCCATCACCTCTATATGAATGTCTTCTCTAGATGTTTCTGGTCTATATGCTAAGATAGTTGGAGGTCCAACACTGGAGAGAGTGTGCAGCGATCCCTCGAACAGCCTTAAGAAGTCTTCCTTAAACTTAAAGACAATAACAATAAACAAAGTGCAATAAGAGATCATTCCATTTCAAATGGCAAACCACTTTGTCTGGAATATTCCCATAGGATTACTCCAGAATAAATTCTGGACTTGGCTGCAAGGGGTGGGAGAGCACCAGCAGGAGTACATTCCGAACAAAATGTGTACAAATGGTTAATACCTCCACGTCGCACAAAATGTCTAGACAGCTGAGGTCTTGGGGCAGCACATCATAGATATCTAAAGTTTAACAAGGAGAATGAGGAAGTTAGTATGCTTTTGCCTGTCAGATTGTAATCTTAGGACATGCCCACATGAGTCCTACTTAGGACTTGTGGTATTGGAACAACATATGCGATCCCCCAGTGTAGCAGAAGGGCAGAGTGCTAATGCTTGTACCATGCGTGTGCATGATGAAAATTTCAAGTTTTTAGAATGGGAAGAGGGGGGACCATGCAAGGACCAGGAAACTATCAAACAATCAGGCAAAACAGGGGTTGGTGGAAGGGGGCATGACCATCTGTGGAATCCTGGAGGGTCAGATTGGAACTCCAGGTGGGCCAGACATGATCTACTGGCCTGAGGTTTACCATCTCTGTTTTAGGGCCCAGTTCCATGGCCTCTGCAGCAGAGGCAAAGAAGCTTCCAGACTTGGAGGCTGGAGACCATCCAATGTCAGGAGAAAGAAGTGGCATTTCTGGCCTTCCAATAAAGTGCTTGGGAGTGAGAGGGAAAGAGGCTGGGATGGTGTTAGGAATATGCATAAGCCCTCAGTGCCAGGCTCCTTCCCTCCCTGCCCACAGCACACCCGGTTTTTGCCCTCTCTGAGGCCCAGCGACAACCTGAGGGGGAGCTGTTGTAGTTTTTTCCATGCCAGCTATGTGGGGATCAAATGGAGAACCAGGCTTCAGAGTTCCAGATCCAAGACTGCAGGATCCTGTGTTTCCTATACAGTGTTGGGAAGCCTAAGGTCTGGACACTAAAAGACTTATCAACAGAGATTAGTTTGCTCCAATTGCTGTTGATCAGTGATGTAGCACTTAGGAGCCTCTGCTCTCTAGAAAAGCCTTGCACTATTGAATGCCAAAGGATGGAGAGTTTGGTATTTGCATTCACTGTAACTGATTTGCCTATCGGCCATTGCAAATAATCATTTTAAAAAATTTACCATGGAGTATCAAAATAAACTCTAGGTTGTTTTATTTATTATATATTTTATTTATATAAAGCTTTTATATCTCACCCTTCACAATGTTTTTAGGGTAGAGCAGCCTTTCCTGGCCTGGCACCCTCCAGATCTTTTTTTCCTTTTTGCCCCATGATTGCCTCTGGTCAGTCATGCAGGTGTTTGAAATGACACCATTAGCAATAGTTCCGCTTTCCAATTACCTACTACCCTCTGCAGAGAAAAAAAAGTCTGTCTCCAGCTTTGGTGTGTCAATTAAAATAATTCTTATTTCACTGACAATCACATGATTAACAAGTAGTGTGTCAACATTCCTATTTTACAGACCGGGGAATTAGTCTGAGGGAAAGCAGTAAGTTTAAGATTGCTGGTTCTATGACTCAGAAGAAATCTGGGGATCTTGCACAGGTCTAGAAATAAAGGTAGTGCTCAAAATGAGGAAGAAACAAATGCTTCAGGGATACAGTTTACCATTCTCAGGAGGAAGCTTTATTCCTTTGCCCTTTGCAGCTGAAAAGAAAAAAGAAAATGCATGTGATATCAAATATAAAATCTGTTTTCCTTTCTTCAGGGGAAAGAAACCTAGGTGGTATAAAAAAGAGGTGGCAGCAAGGTATACACTGCTCCAAAGAGACCACTCCCACCTGGCAGTTTAATGCAATTCCTTTTCAAAAGGAAACTGGAACTGTGCAATGGTATGTGACTCTAACATACACATATAATGCGTGCTGCTACAACACTCCCGTGCATTTTCCTAGTGTGTACTTTTTCTTAGAGTCATGTTCGATGGCATTTAGAAACCTATCTAGTCAAGCTTCATACAGTCAACAAAAAAGCATACGTTATAAACTAAATTATAATTTAGGAATTATATATTACACCAGTGCATACAGTTCTCACTTCCATTGGCAAGATCTATAGTGTGCATGTTTCCATGACCAAAACTTGGAATTTAGTTACAGCCATAGAGATATCTGCACATGGGACAAGTTTCTTTATAATAAGCAGAAGGGATTTTGCATGTTTGTGAGACCAGAAGGGACAACGAACCAGGCAAATCCTATCTCATACAAGTAGTTCTCTGTGCTGCCACCGGAATGCAATAATATGCTACCGTCTCTGTATGCCATCAAATGTCCCTACAGAGTGCTTTCTATATTCCTTTAAAAATAAACCATTCATACACATGAGCTGCATTTAGAAAGCTAAAGCAAAGTGCCCCTTAGACACGAGTCTCGATTCTTGTTAAACTCTGGCATGAATTATTACATTTATTCATTTAAAAGATTTAATACCTTGGCCTCCAGTTTCACAGCTCTGAAAGGAAGCTTTCTGATTAATATTTAAAAATGAGTACAAATACATACTTTTTAAAAGTGCAAAATACAATTGAAACTGCAGAAACAACATCTGCAGGATTAAAACAAATTAAATTTTTTAAAGGCCCAAGTTTAAAAGGTTTTTACCAGTGTCAACAAGAAGAAAAGTTTGGTGCCAGATGGGATCCCCTAGGAAGAATGTTCTAGAGATGAGGTGCCACAGCTGACCATCAGCTTGCCCTCTAGCGGTGGGCTCACTCAGATAAGGGCCTCAGCACTTAGACAGAATTATGTGAAAGCAGACAGTCCTTTAGAATGAAACCCAATGGTGATGCCCATAAAAGACTGAACTTGTAGGTTTGCGGCCATCTAATGCACACCAGGAGATGTAGCAGAGGTGATCTTCACCTCCCCATCTCCTCCCACCACTAGATGGATTGTTTTGCTCAACTAGATGAGACATTTTGGAGAGGGACAGAAGGGAGCTTAAGAGATGCCAGGATAGCTGGTATCTTGGCCTCTCCAGTCTCTTTCCTTCCCAGCTCACCAAACACCCCCCCTTTCCCTCCATTAGCAGTAGTTTAACCTGCAAATTACCACAGCATGAACGTTGGGATAGAACCAAGATAAAAATGGCTAAAATTCTCTTCTCCTCGCTTTGGCTACATGGTGCTTCAGATGGTCTAGGGCAGTGTTGGCGAACCTATGGCACGCGTGCCACAGCAGGCACGCAGAGCCCTATCTGTCGGCACGCGAGCCAGGTCATCCCAGCATCGCCCCAGCAGCCAAGCACTGGATAACAGCACACACAGGGGCCATGCACATGCTCAGAAAAGAGTAGCAGCGCCAGGTGATGAGGTCATGAGCCGCGACTCATTAGCCATGACTTGTCTGAGCTTTTGCATGGCCAGTCAGTGCACTGCCAAGAATAAATATATATATATATATATATATATATATATATATATATATATATATTTGCTTGGACTGGCTGTGAGGTGTTTTTTCTAAACTAAAACCTCAGTTTTCAGGTTTTATTGTAGTGTTGGCACTTTGTGATAAATATGTGGGTTTTGGGTTGTGGTTTTGGCACTCAGTCTCTAAAAGTTTCACCATCACTGGTCTAAGGTCATGATTCTTGCTCAGGGGATATGAAAAGTCCTGGGTGCAAGTTCCAGACATGCCCCACTGATGGGGAGACCAACTGTACCATTGGGAGGACCTATGGCCAGGGCAGAGAATATGCTTACATATGAAAGGTCCCAGGGCAAAGTTGTGAATCGGATCTGAATAATATTAATAAACAGCACAATGAGCCCAGTACTTACCCCTTTTCTTGTAAACATGGTCATAAAGCCAACTTGCATCTGTCTGCATGGAGACAGATATTCCTATGGGTTTTTCATGCACATCAGCAGCCACAGTATCCATTGCCTCCCTTTCATTAGATACAACAGATCACGTGTTCATTAGATACAACAGAACCACACTGAATAATTACTGTACATCTCAAAAAAACCCTCTAAGGACCTTTGCTATTTTGCATGCTCAAGAGTTATCTTTGTTGCCCACAGATTCTAAGTGGTGGAAAAGCAAATGAGTGGAAGAAATTTACCAGTAAACAAAATAGTGAAGTGCCATTTGAGTGGAAGCCATTAACCACTAAGCATGATAGCAAATGGCACCTCGCTTTCAGGTCCTAATGTTGTTTGTGCTAACACAAACTCCCTCTGGAAATCCATACCTTTATCTTAGAAATGACAGTGAGATCTCTCATTTACTATTATGCTTGTTATGACAAAGAAAGTTGGGAGATGTGGAAGTTTAAAGAAGTGGGCAAAAAATAGGCATCCCAAAGAAAAATTGAACAAAACTAAATTTTGGAATTGAACACAGCACTGTGAAAGACAATGGGGATAAATGTAGAAGGTTGGACTGTCTTGCTTTTGAGTCACCAACATATATTGTTCCCACCCCAAAACACAGCCTCTCCCATCCTGGTATCATCCAATTGAACTGAACTACAACTCCCATCATACCCATACAGCAGAGGCACCATAGCCTAACATCATGGAAGGACATCAGATTGGAGTCCGCTGCTTCCATTTAAAGAGAAAGTACAACATAAACGTAAGTGATGTCTTTTGGTTTCCCAACTATCACCTGGAAGAAAATAACTTTTCAGTGGCAAAAAGCTGGAGTTTTCTATCTTGTTACTGATAGGTGTGAAAGGATGATTTGAAACAAGGGAGTAAAGAGATTTAAAAGGGGAGCAAAGAAAATTACTTAGCCCAAAGGAGGGGAGGGGCCAAAATCAGATAGCACAAGGTATGGGGAAACAGGCACATATGCAGGAGGGCCAAATGCTTCCTGATTGTTTATTGACAAGTTGGGCAGAACAAAATGAGCCTATTGCAGCCCACCAGGGGCAGGGCTGAATTGGGGAGAAGGGCCGGTGTTGGGGCAGCATGGAGTAGGCGGGCAGAAAGAACGTAACTCTCAGTACCCTATTAGCCAATTGGGGAAAGGAGGAGGGAACAAGCGGCCGGGAGCAGGGTTCAAAAGGGGGGTGTGAACAGGTGCTCAGGTGAACAGAAAAGTGGGAAGGAAACCATCTTTTTTCTGTTACTTTCATTGCAATAAAGTTTTAAAAAGAACACTCTGCATGCCTGGAACATTTTTCTCTTCTGACAGAAAGGAAAAAGTGATTATAACATTACTCAATAATGAATAACTTTCTTCTGGAAAGCAGCAGGTTTCAAATATTTACCTGTTTAGTTGGTATTCAGTGCTGCTTTCTCTCCTGACTCCTCCCAAAATTCTGGGAAAGCCCTTGATACCTGCCGAGTATAAACCAAAATAGTTATACATACAGGTTCAAGCAGACTTAGTCCAAGCAGACCCACTGAAATTAATGCTAGTTAAGTCTAGATTGATCCCACAGGTTGCTGGCCAGGGAATAATGGCATCTTTTGTGAATCATGTGTAACTGCTCAGGATAGAGGTATCTCACACCATCCTCTTCCTACCCACACACAATACCTATATACCACATATCCTCACACAAAACTCTCATTCCTCTTCAAGGCATGGAGCAGGCTGACATAGACTTGGCAAGCGATGCAGAAACTAGCACTCTCTAAGGGTGTAACCTATGCATGGTTAGACAGAATAACCCTAATTCTAGTCATTCCATTTGGTCTAAACATGCATGGAATTATGTCCTAAAAGGCTAAGCATTGGATCCAAACATCACTAGGTCATTTCTTGCCTCTGCCATAAACTTTCTCAGTTGCATAAAGCAAACTACTTTCACTTTAGATTGAGTGCTCCTATCTGCAACATGGAAGATAATGATGACTTATTATACACAAGTATTGTGAGGATTACAACTAGATAATGCACATGAAGCACTTTGAACACTTGGTAACACTATCTGAAAGTTTATTATTATATTAAAATTATTAGGTTGCAATTATCAGAACTCCTGTAAGTATGGCAAAGTCAGAAGCCAACCAAGGCCCATGGCTACACTCAGTCACTTGGAATGTGGCTGGTACCTGCATGTGAGAAGGTTAGAACATAGTACCTGCACTTGACAATGACGTTTCCATGGTGGTGTGGGAAGAGAGCTCTGTTAATCCTTCAGATGTGATAATATCTGATCCTGGCTCTGCACTGCCATCCACCTTCCCCTCTTGGCTCTCCTTACAGGAAGATCTATGGAAACAGAATGACAATATATTAAATTCAGGGGGAAATGGAAAATAATGTAATTTTATTGATTTAATCTTTATATCACCCAAATAGCTGAAGCTCTCTGGGTAGTTCACTAGAATTAGCATGAGGTACAATGCAAATGTTTACAAATATGGCAGTGACACAAAGATTTGAAATGCAAGAGCTGAGCTATCCTGTGGTCAGTAGACAGAATCTGAATGGCCATAGGTTTGTTCAGTGAGGTTTGAGAATTGCTCGGATCAGCACTTGGATCCATTCTGTGAAGGTGACATGCAAAGAACCACACCAGCTGTTACTCCAAGGTTGTACAACTGGCCTCAGAGATGGCCTTGGAGTCATTCTAAGAGGTGGCGGGTGGGGGGGGAGGAGACTTGGTGCAATCAAGATATAACATATTCTGGCAGTGCCTCGGTCTTCTTCCCTCCCCTTCTGAAGCACTGTGCTTAGACAGACAAAACAGAACATGTGAGCACTTTGAAGGCAAGAGAAGCACAAAGGCAACCTGATCTGCCCATCTTTCTGACTGTACCCTAACAGATTTAAAACCACACCATCTGAAAGACTGAACTGCCTGGGAAAAGAAGGGCTTCAACTGCCCTTTTACCTAGGAAGGTCTTCTATTAATTCATGCAGCGTTGAAATAAAACCTAGCAATTGCTGCATCTAGGAACATTTTGTTACCCACACCAAAATACTTCAGGCAAGACAAATAGTGCATATGAAAGGCATTTGTTTTGGCTGAATGTTTCTCCTTGGAGGTTTCAGTCAACATAAGAATGATTTTCAACTTTCAAAAAGCATCAAAAAGCCTTCACTCACTGGATTTTAATTTTGTTCACTAGAGGTTTTCATTCAGACAAAAGAGACTAAGATGATCTGTACTTATCCTTCTTTTGTTCCTTTGCTTTGGGCCTTTTGTTTGGGGTACTAAAGCATCTGGACAAAGTTATTCTTAAACAAATTTGGGGTATTTTTGGCTCTGGACATGTTTTTAGAAGGGTTTATAGAGAGAAAACCGTAAAGGATAGGAAGCTGTAATTTGAGGGCCTTTTGACTAGGCAGATTTTGACAACATTCTTGAAGGACTAGATTATACATCTACTTACACATCAGAATGTGAGCAAGGTGGATTCCAGAACCCCCAAGAAGCAGGATGGAAGCCCAATACATTATAAAATCTATATATTCTGAAACTTCTATATTAATAAGCCCCATCCAATCACATATGCAAGACCTGCAGCTTTCCAGCCCTAACAGAGTTATGTCAGTTCTTGAAGAATTCAGATTCTGACCATGTTGCAGTCTATAAGAAATAAGGCCTCAGTGCAATTGCAGTTGATATTCTAAAAGCAAACACATGTGCTGAATCTTGACAGAACTGGAGTCAAAAAGAGGCCACTGAAAAATAAGGAAATCCTTTGGAGAATCCTGAAGTTTGCATGTTTTAGGATGGAAGGTTCATTGCACTTTATGTTGCAAGTCCTACTACTACAGACCTATCACAGTTTTGCTCACTAACTGCTGGGGACAATAACAAAAATAAGCATAACAAGCTTTAACCAAAGGAAGAAATCCTGTTAAATATTATTAACATATGTTTTTAAGTGCAAGGTGCTTTTTCTTGAAAAGCAATTATACATTTTTTGGCTATATTTGACTCAGGCAACTTTTCTGATGAGAGGCACAAATCTAGCTGAGGGGAGTTCCACATTGTTGGAATTTGATTCAGATTTGCACACAGACAAGAAAATCCCCACCTACTGCTCCCTACAAAAGCCCCATCAGTTCACAGAAAATGCTGCCCAGAAGGTCAGGTGGCCATGCTGAATGGGGTGAATGGAGGAGAATCCCCCAGAACAGGCAGAGACACCATCATTGGTCCATGGAAGTTAGTTCCTGGAGCCAACCCAGAATATGCAATCTTTTCTCCATGGTACATTGTAGACCAATCTGAGTGAGGCGTGGTGAAACAAGTTCAACAATAATGTTTGAACTGATCCCAGGAATGAGCAGAAATTTCATTCCAACAATTCCATTCCAGCCAGCTGTAATATAGTCTATCCCACCAAGAATAATGACAACATTGTGTTATTTTTGTTGTTACCTAGAAGTCATAGAAGCTCTACTTCTAACTCTTCCAGGATGATCTTCAGAACCTGTTCATACAAGCAGCATTAATACTGATGACAGGATTGGACATACATGCTTAAACAAACACAAGGCTGCCATCCTGAAATTTGCTAGGAGAGTAAAGGGTTTTTTTTTTTTTTACCATATAGCTTAATTGCATGAATTCTCTCTCTCTCAAAACCCTCACCAGTTTTTCTTATGCTGAAATTAGTGCCATCAAGCAGGGAGACATTCTTCCTTACATGGGAAAGCAAGTCCATTGTTTCCAAGCTTCTGAAGCTTGGAAACCAAGCCCACCCCAGTCTCATCTTACAATTATGCTCAGTCAATGTCCCTGTCAGGGCTTGCACAAAGCCAGCCTTCCCCCAGCCTACTGGCCTGCAGCTATTTTGGAGCACAACCCCCATCATCTACACCCAGCAAGGTGGGAGTTGTTGTCCAATACATTTGGAGAACACTAGGTTGGGAAAGTCTGTGTTTACAGTTTACACTGGGCTTAAGTCAGTACTTACAGAGAAAAGTATTTTGATGCTATGTGAAATGGAAGACTTTTGCGGTGTTGCCTTTACATGCATTGCTCTTTTATATCAGGAATGGAGAAGTGCAGACCTGCAAAGGCCCACAGGGTTTCTCTAGTCATCCTGGCTGCTTCTCTCTCTGCTTCTACTCCCTCTGTCACAGAGGGAAATTCTCTTATCTCTCATCCGCAGCTCTCTTTCTCAATCCTGAGCAGTCAGCTCCTGATTAGCGATAAGAGCTTTTCCTTCTTATAGAAGAGAGAGGGCCAGGCAGCTTTTCAGTGATTCATTCATGCTTCTTTCTCAAATTAGTCCTGCTTACTTCAGAGTAGACACAATATTCATGCTCCCTTCTGAATAAAAATATTTGAAAGTTCTATTGAGTGATTTGGTCCTACATCTTTCTGAGGCTAGTCCTATGGGAGCGTGTCCCACTTAATTAGGCTGGACATGTACATAGCAGGCATGTCATGAGTGGAGCTGGCTGGAGCTGGGGGTCAGACTAGATGGCCCAGATACCCCTTCTGACTCACTGTTTCTATGTTTAATTCTGAGTACATATGCAGAGACCTGTCTTGCTTATCTGTAAGCAAGCAGATCTGTAAACATTGCTCATGCTTACTTCTGAGAGAACCTGTTTCCTACTACATATTTCTAACCATGGGATTTTGAAGTGGAATTTTATTTTTCAGCTCTGCTTACTTTTGTTTGTGGTCCTGCTCACCATGAGAATGCAGGTTCTAAGAACTTTTCAAAAATGGAATCATTTCCTCCATCCAGACGAGGTTCCCCACTTGTTTTATAAAAAGTGGGGATGTGACTCCATGTGACCTCTGTGGATCTTTGAAAAGCCAGGTGCTGGTGACCTTATACAGGGCAAGATCTCTACCGCCCAGCTGCCTTTGGAAACCCCTTGTCCCAAGCATTTGGGGTATGCAAGGAGGTCATGTCCTCCTCCAAAGGTTGGAGTTGAAGTCAGTTTGCCCAGTCTGCAAAGGGTTTGCAAAAATGGACTGTTGATCTCTGCTGTGCTCAGAGGTGATTTGTGTCACCCCTGGAATTAATGTGGGACATGGCAGGCTGTGTGCTTGCTTTCTGCATCCCTTTCACAGCTATTTATCTCCTGCAGATAAATTCAAGCAAAGTATGCAAAACATTCGTGTAACCCAAGCAGGTCAACCGCATGTACAATTAGCTCAAGCATTTCTTTGAAACAGGAACAATTGCAACCCTAGACCAAACAAGTGTAACTGGTCTGAGAAGCGATTGGAATGTGTGGTTTGGAGTATGATGTTAACTCGGTTATAAACTGATGAGCTCCAGAGTGCTGCTCTTCTTCCCCAGGATAGTCAAGATGCATGCCATTTCACATTCCTCTTCAAAAAGAGTAGTAAAACAATTCTTGTACCTATCGCTGGCTCCTCGGTGGTTTCCTCCAGTTCCATCCCCCTGGTGCTCACAGATTCTGGATTTGCCATGCGACTTTCAGGATCCCTATGTTGAAATTAAATTATAGGAAGGATATTATTTTTGCTGCACTAAGGATTAATATATGTAACATGATTACTTTATTTAAGACTGAGAAGCATTTAATGTCCTTTTCAGGAATATGTAGATCTGAAAATAGGGATTTTGTCTTAGCTTACTCTTTTGTCATGGTTGGATTACTTCTTACTGAAGTTTAAGCTTCTAGCACTGTACTTCCCAGGAAGTTCAGGGGCCACATTAGAATGGTCCAGGGGATTCTAATGGATTATAGAGAGTTCTAGACATGTTCTAGGTGGTGTGACTGGTGGGCCCCATCAAATTCCTGGCCACTCTGTGGAATGCAGAAAAAATGACTGAGCAGGTGACAAGCTCATTCCCAAGCATTCTCTCTCTTTGAGCAGACTGTATTCAATACCTTGGTACAGACCTGAGTGGAATACAGGAAAGTAGGCTTAGTGATTACTGGAAGGTAATAAGAAAAAGTCTTGTAATAAGTCTAGCACAAAAGCTCATTACTAAGCCTCCTTTGTACCAATAGAGATTAAGCCATTTTTCTCCACCACTATTGCATTTCTGCAATGTTGTCCAGGGGAGCTTTTCCAAGGGGTCTTTTGAAATCTTGCCCAGTAGGAGATACATGTAAGGACATGTAATGTGGGCTTCTGTGGGCTTCTGCAATCATTTAAAGTGAGTCACAGTATAGAAGGAATGCTCTTATTCAGTCAACTGAAACATAGTCTTTCATTTTTAGTTAAAAATGCAAACAATTTTGCAATGATGAGTTCGGAGTTAAAGTGCTAATGTGCAGTAAGAACTCTGTCAAAAGGAAGGAGAAAAATATCCAGCCTCTGCATGACTATTTTCTTCATTTTCCAGCTTCCTCTATCATAATCTGTCACAAATAATAATAAAAGCTCATTATCACCTTATTTACCAGCCAGAGAGCTGGCAGAGTGCTAGGCAGGCAATATCACTAACCCTGCTCTAAAGCAAGTCCCCAGATCAAGGCCAGTAAAAGCTCCCTGAGACAGGCGAGAACAGACACACTGCCATAGCCATGGCTTCACTCCCCTTGTGATCCTGTCCCATCGCTACCTGTCCCTCTGTTTTTCTGCTGCTGCCAGAGTTGCTACTACTACCCACACTGCCTGTCACTTGGATCTCTCTCCACAAGATCCAGAGGGTGGGCAGGTTTTCTGAAGAGCTGCAGCAGTAGGAAAAAGTGTGCAGCATGTTTATTCAGGGAGCCAGCAAGCTCAAATGCCTGGCTCTGAGGAGGTAATTCCCAGAACCAGGTATGTCAGACAGATTGCCTCCTGGAGCACGGCAGGGGCTGGGGGCCACTGGGGGGAATGGAAAGCACAGCAGGTCACCACTCCTCATGTCGTTCCACCTCAGGCAAGACATTCATGCCCTCTCAAGGGAAGATGGGCCAGCCCAGAGTTGTGCTTCTTTGTGGACCTCCACCATGTCACCGCTGATTGCCAAACGATTTGCTTGTCAAAAGGCAGGTCATCATTCATATCCATATGATGGTTATTGATTGGTGCTGAATTCCTTTACCCGTATCCAAAATTCAGGTGAAAAGACACAATTGTTCAAAATAAAAAGTAGTAGTAGTAGTAGTAGTGAAGTCTTCTCTGCAGCTGCACAAAATACTTAGTTGCCAAGTGCTGCCTTGTCTGATCACACCAAATGCCCATCTAGTCCAGTTCAGCTGCCATCCAGACAACCCTGGGAAGTTCACAAGGAGGACATGCTAAAAAGAGAATCTTTCATTGCACTCCTGACCTTGACAATTACAAACCTGTTGCCATTGAATAGAAAGGTTCCAGTTTTTAGCTATCATTGCTATTATCCATGGGTAGATCTGTCCCATTCTTTAAAAAAGACTTTTAAAGTACTGGCTATTACCATATCTTGGCCAATTAATGTCCTATAATCAAGGGTGCAAAAAGTGTGGTCAGTCAGGCTCATGAGGCTTGCTCTGTATATCTGACAGAAGTCGCATGGTTTCCTCTTCTTTAGCTCTGATCCGTTTCTGATCAGAACTAAAGAAAGGGATTCCCTTGCTCATGCTAGCAAGGGAATCCTCGAGCTTGTATATGTATGTTGTGTATGATGTAGGTGCTGCCTCCTCTCCCCAGCCAATACAGCCCTCAGAGCCAAAGTGGTTGCGTACAAATACGATAAGTAAATGATGTATTGTGTAGGGCCAGTACTTATGTACATTCATCCTGAACGTATCGCCAATGAATTCTGATGGATGGCTAGCAGTACTTTGAGCAACATTCACTCTAACTTTGGACAATGCAACATTGTGAAAAACTACTACCGCTAAAGAACAAAAAACAAATAAAACTGCTTTACCATTTACTTACTTGCTTGAAATATCAGCATCTGGGGATGAGGGTCCTTTTCCAACATCTTCACTGTCTGCTGAATACATACAAATGTGGATGAGTTGATCTGCAACATTTGATGACACTTACCAATATTTCCATATGCAATTGTATAAGCAGCAGCAGCACCTGGACCCAGTACAGCTACAATAAGTTCAAAAGCACTTACTTCCAAGCAGATCTGTAAAAAATCTTTGCTTTCAGCAGGACTTAACTATGATATTTCAGCTGGATCTGGACCAAAGTATTACATTTCAACAATGAGTAAAAATGACTTTTGTGGAATTGAAATGCATGAAACAAGTAGCTTGGAACCTGAAGTCCTTCAGATGTTGTTGAACTACACCCATCGTCTTTCTTGAGACTGACCTTGGTGGCAGGGGCTGATGGAAATTGAAGTTCAAGAACATCTGGATGTCCACAAATTTCCAACTGTTGCATTAGACCACTCTTATCTCTGCAAGCTTCCACAATGTTCTGATGTTGTTTGTGCATATTAGGAAGGGAGAGAGTATTTCCTGGGATAAAGCACTGTCAAAACAATTCCTGCCAAATTTCAATATGTGTTTGGTATGTGTTGTTGTCTTACAGCTTTCCTTAGAACTCTTGTAAAATGCACAGAGTGCTTCCGTTGGGCAGCTATTTTTTTATAAGTAAGTAATCCCCTCTCCTGTTACTCAGGCATTGTCATGGTACGTCAGGATATTGAATAGAAGTATATATTAATATCTCTTCTTTTTATCTCCATATACACTTTTCCATATAGGTGATATGCTTGTGATTCATGACACATTGACAGGAACAATATAACCAACACTCCGGAGCTGAATGTGGGTCATTCAATCATACGTTGTTGTTGAAACGTGAGTTATGTCTGAATTCAGCCATGGTAACGAAACATGCTGAACCACAAACAGTTCCCAACCCAACAAGGAGCAGAGGGTTCTCTGCATGAATTGTTCACAGTTAATAAGTTATGTGGTTTGTTAATTCAGCTGGGTTAACAGAACACAAAAATCCACATTTTGACCACAACTTACAGTTCAATAGCAACCCATACTCAATCCGTACTGAACCCTTCCCTATCATGTTGTCAGAATGCAGTCTTTCTGTTATCCTTGGGAAGAATTCTAAAGTAGATATGATTGACTTCAACTCCATAAGCTAACCCAGAGCAGTCTGAGGGCCAAATTAAATTTCAGAGTTTGTACTGGGTGCCTTATTCCAATGAAGAGTGGGTTGATGGCAAACTACTTAGGTATGTGAGGGGTGCCATACAGAGGTGGTTAGAGACCTGTTTTCCCCTTCAGAGGAGGGCAGGACACGTTCCAATGGAGCAAAACTCAGGGAACCAAGGTATGGTTACTGCTAGGGTATGGAATGAGCTTCCATGGGAGATGGTTGAAGCCCATTGGTGAGGGTGTTTAAGGATAGGCTGGACATGAACATGGTAGGCATGTCATGAGCGGAGTTGGTTGGGGCCAGGTGTCAGACTAGATGGCCAAGGAGGCCCCTTCTGACTCACTCTGTTTCTATGTTTCCATGTCTGGGGCAAAATGTCAGCAGGGTATGGCCAAAAAAGAGCTAACCAAATCCCTCAGCATATTTAGTCCAAAGCTCTTACTGCCAGTAATGAATCCTCAGAAGAAGGAAATTCAACCTTTTAGAATAAGGGAAAAGTTGTACAATAAGCAGAAAACTTTGAAATGATTGGCTATAGGAGGAAAGAAGGCAAGCATACCTGAGGCCTAGGGGCTGAATTTGGCTCCAGAGTCTCAGGTTTCTCCCCTGTGGTCTTACCTAACACTTTCTCCTTTGTACTTTTAATGCCTCTGGCATTCATTAGCCACATTATGTCTCAGCAGATGCCAGATATTTCACAAGAAAATTTGGTTGTGAGCCCTTTAGAGATAATATGCCAGTACGTATAATTGGATTATTTATGCCACAGTGGGCTTAATGAATGTGGGCAGAAGTTTTGTTGTGCATGGTCCAAATAGCAGACAGTAGGTTATGTGATGGGTTACGTAATCCACACACTATCCCCGCCACTGGGTTCACACAACATGGGAAGCTGCATCCAGGCACTGAATATGCAAATCACACCTGGCATATTCTGCAACCCACTGTGGCTCAAACTAGCCATGCTAGACTGTTTCGACCACACAAACTGGGGCAATGATAAAGCTTGAGTTGGCAAGGCAAGACAGAAATAACTATAACAATCTTGGAATGTGAAGTGAACCCTCGCTAAAGCACATTTCTGTCTCCTTTGAGTCAAAGGACACACAGGGAAAATTGTGTGTGTGTGTGTGTTTGGGTGGAGGGGGCTGTTCAACATTACCTAGTTGACTGGGTAGGAGAGGGCAGTATGAAGTTGGGGGCTCCGACCTGCTCTACACAAGGCATTTATTGCTGATTCCCTACTCAAGGTCTTTACAGGTTCTTTAGACAATGATGTAAACCCCCCTTCCGTTTCACTACTCTGTTTAAAGAGCAGTGTGAGCATGCTCCTTTTTAAGGAGCAATAGAAAAAGTGGTATTGTCATTTAAATAAAAGTGGTAAAGAAAATGTTTTTCCATTTGTA